CCCTGATATGAAGTTATTTCAAGTTATAGTTAAAAACACGAGCCTATTATAACACGATTGTGTTTTTTAACAATAGTCTTTACTCTGTTGTTCTGTATATGTAAATGAAAAGTTTTTGAAACAGAACCTGGAATTTATATATTCTTTTTTGCACGTGTATACACAAACATAATACTCTAGGGTCATCAATGAACCAAAAATAATTTACCTGATCAGAATCCAAATCCAAGTGTTGCAGGTAACATGATTAAAATGTACATTTAATTAGGTACGTGGTATGGCTTATGGTCATCATCATATGGATATGGTAGATACACTGGTGGCACTTATTGTAATGGGTGTAGTTGTGATGACAATACAAGACTGTAAGGCAATGCATTGGGTCTACTGTGTAAGCAATGACATGGTTTATTCATTATAATATTTATATTGTGTGTTGATAAACAATTAGTAGCAGATATGAATTAGTCATTTAGTTAAAAACAATAGAATGCAAATACGTGATAAGCAAACTCCAACAACATGTAACACGTAATTGCGTCTACGTAATGAAATCGCGCGGATTTTAGTTACCAAATAAATTCTATTATTTTACTAGAACAGTTTTCAGAACCCTTGATACAACCCATTAGCCACGAAACTGGGTTCGGTTGACAGCGTGACAGAGTAATATTTATAAGGGGCACGGCTGATGGCCTAAAAGTAATGACAATCATGAAAGTTAAAGAAATCGGTACTTAATAAAAAAAATCTGAATAAAGTATCTCTGACTATGGATCGATCGATAAATTCAATACAACACCAACAACATGAGCATAGCGGTAATTACAAAATGCCTATTACATCGCATCTATTGCGTGATCGCACATGAGAATAGTTCAACGTCAATGCTACATAAAAGTATTTATAAGTAAATCAGAATTCACTATGATACTATCGTCTTGTACAAGTAACCGGTAGTCCGTAAAACGTATTCGCTGTTCTCAGTAGATCGCTGTGAAATCGGCCACTAGAAGTCAGCTCACCGCGTAGCTTTCAGGATAGACGCTTGGCTCGGTCGCTATTAATCATCTGATGTGTTGTGCAGTCCGACAGAATAGCGTCCGGAATTGCACAAATTCAGGATGGTAATCGATATTTACAGACCGTAAAGGAATT